TTCTAATGTACAGTAGCAAACCATTGGCTTTAATATTGTTCTGAAGCTATTTTCTTGTGGCATTTTAAATTAATTACTATTTAACTGGGAATAAGCCACAATTAAAGGTAAAAATACGTTTATTGACGTTTCAATTTCCACTTCGGAAATCGTTCTCAAAATACAAATAGTGAATATAAAACAAAATACTGTTTGTATTTTGAGAACGATTTCCGAAGTGGAAATTGAAACGTCAATAAACGTATTTTTACCTTTAATTGTGGCTTATTCCCAGTTAAATAGTAATTAAACCATTGGCTGTCGAATGTCTAGCGATAATCCAAAACAGTCGGAAATTCGTGAAATATATTTTATATTTGCACTTAGGAATAATACTGGTTAAGGAAATTAGATTTCTGTAAGTGCTATCTCCGTTAGTGAAGTAGGCAGTCATTATAGCCATTCTAACTTTCGAAGCAAATGCTAAGTTTTTGAATTTATATTTTGTTTGTATATTTATAAAGTTTATTTGTATCAAATAAAATATGCAATAAGTAAGATCAAAATCCCATTCGGTATTTTTATGATACCTATTTCAGGTAATAATCCTTTGGGATTCCCCGAGGTAAAATTATTCGTAATCTTATTTTTTATAAAAATGTACGTGTGCATTTAGTAAGAAAATTTTCCAGTGAGTTAGTGAGTAAAATGAAAACAAACTTTCAACTCCATTTTGAATCATTTCAGTTGGTCAATTTGTTAATCTTGAGGAATTATTAAAAATGATGTGTTTTTCGTGTTTGCATTTTCATTGTTTTTCGGTAAAACGCGAAATTACTTCAGAACTGCTTCTTTCCTATATTTGTATTCTCCTGTAGATAACAGAAAATAATTATACCATTATCTTAAATAATACAGAACAAACACATAGATAAATGTTTGAGATAAATGTAACACGTTCTAAAATAATTGGTACAGGAAAATATTTCATTAAAAGTATGGCGAAGATATTGCTTTCTACTTGGCACACAAATTACATTTCAACGTTCAGTACAGTAAACATTTACGATCCAACTATTTAATTAGAACGCAAATACTGCAAATATAATTATATTTCACAATATGTCGAAGACGTTCCAATCGTACCGAATTCCTTCTCTTTAATAAATCTTTTTTTATGATTTAAGAATTAATTCAACGTTCTAAATATAATAATAATTATATATATAGCTTATATAGCATCAATAGATTTAGAGCAGAATAAAATAATGTAGAACCAGGCGAGTGGTTGAATTTTTACCAGCAACATTAAAATCAAACACAAATAAGCTGATTTGAACCATCTGTAGCAGTACTTTATTATTTAGTACATTACTTCTTTGCCATATTCCATATTCTTATGTACTCTCATGTTTATTTGCTCAATTTTCCAATATATTTATTGCATCAGCTCGTTCTCTATCTAGATCCAGGGACAGGTAATCTAACGGTATCACCAATATTTTTGCAGTCGGTAATACCCTATTAGAGTTTAGTTTCATTTTTCTGCTTGCTGGAACAAACCATATTTTCCTTGAAATCTATTTTCGATTATTTTTATTTTTTGGTTAATTTCAGTCTGTATGAACAAACATATTGCACTAGATACATACGCAACCGTTCAAACATTCAGATTCACATACACCACAAAAAATTATGTTGTTATTTGGTAGAAAATTCTCATTTAACGTTTCATTAAGACCTTCCTGACTTGAATACATTTGAATCTTTATATGTTCCTTAAACTTCTGCGATAACTGGAGGAAGAAGATTTACAGAATACCAGCAATTGTTGTTTTCGTTTGGTGCTTCATATGTTTTATCGATTTCTGTCGTAACGGGGGAAATAATATTTCCAGATGACGTGGAATTGTTGGTTTCGTTTGGTACTTTATATGTTTCAGCGACTTCTGTGATAACTGGAGGAATAACGTTTACATTTGGTATGTTTAAATTGATTTTAAAAGTTGTACTTGAAATTAATAAAAATCGAATAATAAATAACAATTATTAATTTTACTAACCACAGCTTTGCAATATACCTGTAAGTATTTCTCTTATCAGTGTAATAAGAGTCTGATGAACTTGTTCCAACAACTTTGCTGCTATTATTGCCACCTTCTGCACTATTTACTTTATCTAATAAATGTTGAAGATCTTCTTCCGTATCTATTTCATTAATATAGTCCTTTGAAAGATAGAATCCGATAGATCAACTTTTAATTTCGACTCAAGCATTGCTGCGTAAAGAGACTGTTTTATTTTTACATGAAAGGCCTGTTTTTAATTAATTGAATAAATTTAGGGCGTTCAGACCATTTAGATGTATTATTTGTTTGCATCTATGTTATTAGCATATCCTGAACGTCACGATTAGTCCTTTCTACGCTTCCTTGCGACTGACTATGGCGATGCTCTCCATGAACAATTTTTAAATCCGGTCACATATTTTTGAGTTCTTTTATTACTGTGTTAACGAACTCAGGACCATTTTCCGATTGGAGTATTGAAGATGCGCAAAAAATGTAGAAAATTTCTACCAAATGTGAAGCTACTTCATCTGTCTTCTTTGAAGTTAAAGATCTTGATTGTACGGATTTTGTGAGATTTTTAGAGTATGCCTGGTAAACCATTAATTGTTTCACAAGCACAATAATTTGTGTTATATGTGTTGGATATTTAAAATTAACAATAATTAATAGATGGCCTTTCGAGCCATTTTCATCTATTCAATTATATTAAAACTGTATTAAAAAGTATCACGACAAGCAGTATGTACAGAGATAGAAAGGAAATAGAAAACAAAAAAACTATATGTCGTAAAGTAACTACAATGTGAATTTAATAATAAAACAGAAGATACTTTTTAGTCAATACTTTATAATACAAAGTAGTCTAAGAAAATTTATGCTAAATACATTGATTGATATTAAGTAATTTTCTTGTGAGTTATATATTTTAAAATAATTCATAAAACATAAAAAATGTGTGCGATTCATTCTGTACTAATGTTTTTTTTTTAGATAAACATGTTATTCTGCAAAGTATAAGTAATCAATTAAAGGGATAAATAAGTTGTATGTATTGGCAGAACATCTGTTAGCATTTTAGTAAAAGAACTTAGTAGGAACCAAATCGAAGAGCTTTAATTAAGCGCACCACTATTGCTGCTTCAAGAGTCAAGCTCCTTAGTAAACGTATGGAAAATCTTAATAGTATGCCACCCAGAGAATTTGTTTTGTTTGGATGAGACGTGGGTTTATGAAAAGGGAAACAAAACAATTTCCGGGCAAGATAACAGTGCAAGATAAAAGTGTATGCAAACCAGAAGAGTATGATGGCAAACGTTTCATAATATTGTTCACGCTGGAGCTGCGAAAGCATTAATTTGTTACTGAATCAAGTTTATTCTTTTGTTTAAAATCTAAAGTAGGTGATTCATGCAGAAATGAGCAATAAAATTTTCAAATGGTGAAAGGGTGCTAGTTTAAGCACATATTCATGAATGTTAGGGAAATAAGTCTTCTACTCACAATCCGTAATAGGTTTTATTAAAGTTGAAAAAAATGGGCTACTGGTTTCGTTGTTAACAAACTTTTACAGCATCTTCAGGACCTCTTTTATCTTAGTTTCTTGAGGGCCTGGAGAAGTTGTAAAAGTTTGTAAACGACGAATTCGGCAGCCCATTATGTTTTCAACAATAAAAAACCTTTAACGATTTTGAGTAGAAGACTTATTTTTTTAACATTCATGAATAAAATTTTCACTAAATGGATAAGTGAACAATCAATTCCAGTTTAGAAGAGCCATTATTAATTTTGATAGAGAAAAAACAATGGTTGACAATAATTAACATTCAACCAGTCATAATAGACACTAATAATGAGTAAAGAACAGATTCTGGCCGCGAAGAAATTTTATGATTGTACACGATGGTTGAATAAATATTTAAAATAAATTGTTTTTGTACCCAGCTCAAAAGTTTTCTACTTGTCAATTTATTTTACATCGGTTTTTTATTTGAATTTTTTTGTGTTAATTTTTGTTTGGTACATTTTTTTTTTTCGATTCAATTTGTAACGTGTGTCAACTGTGTAACCATGTGTAACCTGGATCTATTCTTATTATGTTTATTACAGCTTTAGTCATTTTGTATAAATAATATCCGTTGAGGCTCAAAGCTCCTCGATATTAAAACTATCAATCTTATTAACAGTAGAAAAAACAAAGTCATTAATTAATTCTGAAAACCATAGTTACCAACCAATAAACGAAATGATCAAGATTATGGAGCTCTGAGGTAGATTTTTATTTTTTAGTTTTTTAAATCATAACCCATCTATTTGCTGATATGTAATGAACACACTTTTATTTCTGATTACTCCCGTTTAAATATTTATTTAAGTAATGAATTAGACAACCTGTAGATTTACGAAAATTGGAAAATCAGAATGAATAGTAGTAAAAGTTTGCTCTGTAAGTAAAGGTTTGATAGTATCTAGTTATATTTTGATACGTATTTCAAAACAGAACCACAATTTTCAAAATAAATTGGTACAATTGGAAGCGTTGTTTAGGCGTCAAGTCTATTCATGCTGAAATACCAAACCCAACCTAACTTTAATCACTTGATAGCTGTCAAAATGACCGACAGTTAAAAAAGTGTTACCAACTTACATTTCTATACCTCTAAAAAAATCACCCTTTACATTCTATTAATTTTTATTATTAATAAAACAAACTCTAATTAACCTTATTTCAAAGAAATATAAGATTTCTAATAATGACGTAAGCAAAAGCAAAAAAAAAATTAAACAATTATGTGGAATAAAAGAACTCAAAATTCAAATAGAAAAAATAGCCAAGGCACGAAAATAAGTAATGAAGCATAATTGAGCTAGTCAGAAAAGAAGATTATTATTTTAATATAACAGTAAATAAAAAAGAAAAAAGTTAACAAATAAACGCCATATATGACTTACCGCTTGTGACATCTGTTTCAAAGTCTCCATCTCCACAGTCCGAAGATGTAGGAGAACTAAAAATCGATACTTTTGAATCTGAAGCTTCATTATTATCGACTAATTCCATATTGTTAGTTTATTAGATAGCAAAATTTCGATATGACATTCCGAACGTCCAATTTAGAATTTTTTGGTATTCCTAAGGGTTACCTGTTTTTAAGTATTTAATATTTTTGCAATATACAAATACTTGGTCTGCCCCAAATAAGGTTCACGTGTAATTTTATAAAGAAAGGCTTTGTCGAAAATAATAAATACTGTCAAAATTGGCATTTAAAGTTTAAATGCAGATAAGACATGGATATCAAAAATTGAATGTTTGAATGTCATGTTTGACAAAACAGATCATAGTGTAAAATGATGTGGATATCATAGATCAGGCAAAAAGTTTTTATACAGATTAAATGTTAGTGAGTAATTTGACCATACATAAAAAACAAATTCTTTTCTGAGATTTTGAAATAATTAGCTTTTTGAAACTTAGACCATTTTTGTTTTTATCAGTGTTACTGTTTGTTTAATTCCCTTTTTTTAGATTTGATAGGCCATGATTTATGAGAGTAATGACTGGTAAATCGGGTTGTTCTTGGAATACTGAAATACGAATAATTTTGTTCACGTCAATACACATCAAATCCAGTAAACGCACGTTAGTCCAGGTAGTTTATTTATTTAACACTTATAGAAACTGACTTTAATTGCGGCAAAATACAAAAATTGCACACGAAAGCTGCATTCTTTACCTTAAAAACGCTTTCTGATTTTTGCCGATAGGGCACTCTGATCAAAAGATATCGAATTTTAACTGTCGAAGTAAGTGGTTGAAAAATAGTGAACAAGAGCTTGTTTCCGGTTGCCTGACAGCACCCTGTATAATGAAAAAGGTAACTTTACACTGTAAACGATAAAGCTGTATGTGGTTAATAAGTTCCTAAAGAAATTAAACTTTTGTTTCAATTAATTAGATAATATTGAAATTTATATGTATACAAGGTAGAAAAGTATAATTTTCATATAAAAACCATTATACCTCAAAGACGGTTTACAATAGGTATAGGAAAGTATCAACAAAAAATGTTCAGAATAACGTGAACATTTCTAAAATTAAAAAATATATAGGGAGTCCCATTAAAGAAAAAACGAAGTGGTAAAACCGGAAGTAGCAAATATATGAAAATATTTTCATTAAACAGTCCACTCTTCAAAATCCCTTCATTCCAATTTTCATGATTCCGTTACCTTTAGTTCTCGAGATATTTCTAATTGACCGTTTATCTGCCGCACCCTGTATTGTATAAGAACATTTTGGCTATCCATTTTATATCATTTTGGTTATTTATACTGTTTTTATACCACAGTTGTACAGGATGTCTAATATATTATCCACATATTAATTAAGCCATAGTTATTGATTGTAATGAAAATTGCATATTTTAGATCCACAAGAATTTAGTTGTAGAATTATCTAATCGTATCTTTCACTTCCGTTTTAAAACCACTATTAAAATAATCACATTTTGGAGGCAAGATAAAAATATAACTACCTAAATTTTTTAATAATAAACAAACAGAAAAGAATTGTGCATGTCATGAAACTATTACATTTGTATCTATGTCTGTACATTACCTTCATTCGTCCAATATTTGACAAAAGCCCCGCTTAATTTCTTACATTCTTCTCTGTTTCTTAATATATTCATCCCCTCCGTCTTTCCAAACTTTGAGGATGTCGACAGATCGCATCTGTATTCTTCTTTGTCCTCTTCTGTTTCCCAAGGACTTCTACTATACGATTAGATTATTCCATCTTTCATCTTCATATGTAAGGTGTCTTGCAAATTCCAATATTGATATTTGTCTTCGGAAATCTCTAAGTTTAGTTATCTTTTGTCCACTTATGTGTCTTCTTATCCTATAGTTTTATATTTAGCATTTATAGCCTTTTATTCTTCTATTCCATAAACAGTTGTGAAGTCCGTATTTGTAACCCTTAGTAGGAACCGGAAGTACATATTGGTTAAAAGCTTTTGATTTTTAAGTATATGGATATGTTTTTTTGTTTTTAAGGATGAACCTAATCTAATTTACCAAAAGCTACTAAAGTCTGCGTTGTTCTTGTTTTGTAGTCTAACTTTCTTTACTCGTTTTAATGAATTGTCCCAGATATACATACTATTACATCGGTTCTACTTATTATGTTTTCGATTCTAATAGTTATGTTTTCCTGTGTATTTGTCATCGTCTTTGTTTTACTATAATTTTTTAAAGTAAAGTTTTACAGTTAAAGCTTTATCCGATTATTTTTATTTTATTTATTTTATTAAGTTTTATCCATTGTCCACAAAGTGTTAATACCTTTTTTCCTGGTATGAAGTTTTTAATATATCTTCTAAAGCCATATTAAAAATTTGTTTGAGATATTTTGTCTCCCTGCTTGATCCCTCTGTTGACACATATCTAATCTGTTCCTTGGTACATTTTGGGAGAAAAGTTCAAAACTGTGGCCTATTACAATAACATTGTCAAAACAATCCACTACTTGGATTCTGAATATCGTTCTCAAGCTATTTTCATGTGGCATTTTTGTTATTTGTTTGTTTAATAAGAATTAACCACAATTTTCTCGAAAAATCGTTCTTAAGAATTTCCGATGGGTAAATCGAAACGTCAAAATAAAACGTATTTTCAACTAAAATTGTGGCTAATTCCCATTAAAGATTGTAAATTGAATTCGAATTGGAGTTAAAATTTGCGTTAAAATTTTTCCCTAAAAGTCAAAAATTGCCGTTTATAATGGAGTAAATAATAAAAATGATACAAAACATATGCTAATTTATCACTCCTTGTGATCAGAACATTTCTGTTTTACATTTATTGAAATTTATTGGTTAATTTTTTATATGTGGCGATATGTAAGGACAACAGTATTTGACTATTATCGAAGAAGATCAGCATATAACCACGACCGCAAGCGTAGTTAAGATGCTTAAACTTTAGTAATTTTCAAGCGACAGTTATAAATGAAATAAATATAGACAAATATAGACAATAAGCAGAAGACAAATGTGTTTAGAGAGCAGGGCGACCTAACCAAATTAAGCCCTTAAACAGAGATGCACTCTGTCAAACATTATTCAAAATATATAGAATATACACTAAAAAACTAGAAGGAAAAATGTCGTGAAGAAGAAACAGCCTTCTTCTTCTTCAGGCTGTTTGCATTCATTCTTGGACAAAGGTTTCCCCATGAGTTCTTCACTCTTTTCTATTATGTGCTGTGTAATGCCAGTTTCTTCCCACTTTTACTTTGATCTTTCTTTTGTGGTCTTTGTCTACTACGATTGTGTTATCCACACGGAAACTAAGTTCCTGTAGCTGGCTGTATACCATGTATCACAAAAAAAAAATTTAAATCACGATTGTGTTCTCGTAGTCTCCAATGTAAAATGTTTCTCGTCCATCCTTCGTTGTCTTATCGTGACTCATGAAGGATATATTCCTAAAGCTAAAAGAGGAATACCAAAAAAGCAGAAATGACAATGAATTACAACTTTAAAACAGAAGGAACAAAGAATCTGAATTAATGTAAATGTAAAAAATGTAATATAAATAACGGGATCCACAAAGAATCTCGACGTTACCTGGCGTGAGCGTGAGTAACCTTCTCGGCGTGAATGTGTTCAGGCGGGAACATAAGCGATGGAGTATGACTGTGACTAACGGCAATTCGCGTTTGGTTTTTACCCTGCTCATTTCATCAGTTGCGGCGGTTTACGTTAAGGGATTTGTCCCTGTAATCTCACTAATTGAGCACGATCGAAGTATTAAGTACATTTCGAATGAAATACCTTAGATCAACCCGATCTTGAAAGTCGTGGTTTCAACACGATCACGCAACTTGTCACAAAGCGCTTGCCACAATTAGTTTATTGAGAGAAACATTTCACGTATAATTTCACGTCTCGAATATGTAAATTGGTCTTTAAGTTCGTGCGATTTAACATCTTTAGACCATTTTCTTTGGGAGTATAAGAAAGTCGATATGTTAGAGATGACTTACGACTTGGAATCAATACAATATATCCCATATAACATAATATTATCAAACTATTTAATATGCGCTTTGAAATGTCAAGCTAATAATTTAGTGATATTAATATAAAAATAAATCTAAAACCAATAGTGTCACGCAATAAAGAGTAAAAATATCTCCATAAAACTAAACCAAATATAAAATTAGCGGATTAATAACAAAAAGACAGTAGTAAATATAACTACAAAGTTGGTACAGATTTATCCAACTGAGCCTCTTAAATTATATGAAAGAACAGCATAGAGTTTCATCAAAAAATTAATAGTGCGCATCTAAATAAAATATTTAAAATTAGAAAAATATGTTGCAATGACCACCGTGTTCGTTAATGAAACGATATTGTTGAAATAATGCCGAAAAATACTGCGTATTTTTGTCACGAAAGAATGTCCTTTGGCACGTAAACTTCTTGGCTTTTTTCCATCTCACAACTGTGATTTCTGTTTTTTCAACGGTCTACGAAACTGGACCAGTTCAAATGGCAAATACGAGGAGTGTTCTGAAATATTTTAGAAAAAAGATAGCAAGTTATTTGAAAATCACTTAATTATTTTTTAAAAGTAATATTAGTGAATTTCTATATTATGTATTCATTTATTGTGAAAGCTCTTCCTTTTGCAAGCGAAGTTCTCAGAATATACTAAGAAAGGTTTCAGTTAAAACATAACAACGATGAATATGCTATAGAAGCATTCCAAAATATGTACTCCGAAAACATGTGAAGAATATTCCACTTAGAATTTGAATTCTTAGAATATATGAGGAATTCTACAAAAATTCGCACCTTAACTGGAGCCAAATATGGTGATATTGCAATGTGCGAGCCTCAAAAAAAAGCAAATATAAGTTTTTTCCAGCAAAAAACTGATTTGTTCGCTAAAGCTATTTCATTCTTCTAGCGATCTGCCTCGAAAAACGAGTGAAAGAGACTTCTATACTTGGAGCACACGTACATATCAGGTACCAATCGCTTTGTCTTCGTCTCCAGAAGGAACTCTGACCCTTTGAAGAGCCAAGAAACACCTGCTCAAAGCGTTATTCAGTCCCTAAAATCGACGTTTTTTTCATTTTTTCGCGATTTTATCCGAAAATAGATTAAAAGATACCTCTATAGTTAGAGCACACATACATATTAGGTACCAATCGCTTCGTCTTGATCCCCAGAATTAATTCTGATTCTTTGAAGAGCCAAGAAACACCTGCTCAAAGCGTGGCAAGCGGTTATTCAGTCATTA